TATTAGATAGATAATTGGTACATATTTCCATACAAATTTATCCATTCAATAATTCTATTTGTATCATCTCAACAAAAATTATCATGCGTGCCTTGGTCATTGGACATGGTCAACAACACAAGAGGTCTCCCAAAGTCAACGCCTCTACCACCGAGCTCCAGCCTGAGTGACTAAGGAACACCCCAACCGAGTCATGACCCAAAATCTTCAATTGTGGAGCCCAACTTTTGCAAACCACTCATCGCCCTCCTATCCTCTCTTCAAAACCCTCAGGCAACTTAACCCAATTGGTTCTCAACACCCAATTTCCAAATAAACGGCAGCTCAGATTGCTCTAACCCCATGGCCATTGTAGTAATTTACTCTTGGCTCGGCATGGGCTTGCTTCCAAAAGCCACGTACACAACCAAACCTTTCAGTTGCCTGTCCAACCACTTGCTCATTGACCCCCATTGATCATTCTAGTCATTATTCGTAGTTGGGAGTTGACCAACCCGCAAAATCATTTTCCGGTGGATATCTTGTAATAAACGCAGTCCATTCAGGCTCATAATCTATTCAACTTCTTATTGCAATTACATCACAGCTCTTTATCCCCTGTATATTGACAAACATCTGAAACATTGGTTTCATCACTAGCCATACTTTCGTCGTAAATGCAGTGGACCTCGAACAAATGAAACGCGACGTTGGACGGGAAGGGGATCCACTTAGCGGGACCGTGTAATCCTCGGGATTCTTATGATCATTCGGATATTTTTTCGAGGAAGTGGGCCCAACAAAAACTAAGCATGCTCTGATGAATAAGCTAAAGAAGGCACATGGCATGCCAAGGTTACGGACAGTAGTTGGGGCCCAGTAAGGTACAAAATCGAAGAGTAGCCAATCTGGGTTGGAAGATTGTAGTAAATGAGTAAGGGTTTGTTGGAGAGCATCGTAGGCCTTCTTAAGCTTCATGACTTTGTTCTATGGTAACTGGTAAGTTTGTGGTGGCCTCCGCGGCTTCATAATTAATCTAAATTACATCTAACCTCAAAACTTATCCCAAACTCTATAAATACCCATCCTTTTGCTATACTTGCTTTTATTTTTTAAGTGAAATTATTTATGGATTATTTTAGATCAAAATGTTTAGAAAATTAAATTACAAATGTTGAAACAAAAATTATGTCAAAAAAAATTAACGATAAAAAGAATTTAGGGATTAACCATTCTTAAACAATTTAATAAAGTTGCGGATGAATCTGCAAGGTTAGAGGAAAAAACAGTTTGAGTCCTAAAAATACATGAATATTTGTATTTTGGAGGGTAAAAATTTGAGTTTAACCTGAACATGGTTGGAGATGACTTAAATATGAAGAAGATACACAACAACAAAAAATAATCCCAAGAGCTTGGATCATTAAATGGAGACCTAAAAATCTGGCAGTTTGGATCATTGAACTATTATAATTATCAATTGTCAAACATTTCGAATTACCATTTGCAAAGCTCAAGCAACCCATCAATTTTCCTGTCGGTATGAGCTAATCAAATGGCTTTGATTTTCTTTACTTTGCTAAGGTGCTTTAAACCTTTATTTTCATTTTCTACTAAAAACGCATTGGGTATGTCGTTTTCATTTTCACTAGAATTCATTTTGTGAAAACAAATTCAAACTCTAAATTATTGTTTTCATTCATTGGAATTCATGTACAAAAACTGAAAACACCAAATTATCGTTTTCATTTTCTATCTAGTGTATTGGTTGATTGTTTTTTTTTTCTTTTTTTTTTGTTGGTCTGATTTTTCATTTGTCATTTATTTTTTATTTTTTCTTTTTTTTAGTTGCACTTCATTATTTTATTTTGGTACACAAGTGTATATTAATTTTATGATAAAACCATCATATATTATTCTATTTCATATTTATTTTTAAATATTTATTTTAAACTAAAGATAATAGAATTTTATTATTATTCTCAAATGATACATTTTTCATTGTTTATAATAATTTTAGCCTTTAAAAAATATCAGAATTTTAAAAAATATTTTTTTTAAGGACAGAAATTAGCAAAAATATATTTGAAAAATAACTCACATATTATTATTCGCAAATTGTCCTACCAAACACGTTTTCACTGTTTTTATTTTCTAAATATGTTTTCCAATTAATCTACAGACGCATTCTCTGAAGTAATGTCTCACATATTCCTAACATATCCCCTAAATCTATGCATTAAAATATGGGATGTTCCACAATATGGAATGTTCCCC